CCACACACAAGGACCTTTAGATCAATGTTCATGTATTATCCGCGGTCATCGAACGGGGTTGACAAATGGAGTACATTGACATGGCTAGTCAGCTAGTCGGTGGCTGGTGGGTTCGTGGGTTGAACACGAGACCCGGGGAAAGCCATAAAGGTCTAGGCAGCTAGATATCGTGGATCTGGCATAACAGGTTGGGGTAGTGTTCGGAGCAGGTGTGTCGTGTAGATCCTCAATACCGTCCTGGAACCCAACTGGCTTAAGGCGGAGATCACCGCAAGTCTTGAGGTTGTTTCTAATTGTTGCTCCCCTCGGCGTCGCCATGCAAAGTGTGATGTTGTTTTTCTGTCAAGGGCACGTCCCGAAACCTTGCACACCAACTCCCAAACGCTAAGCCCCGAACGTTAAATCCTCAAACCATATCAGGGTTTCGGGATTTCGTGCTTCGGGGTTCCTATAAGCCCCGCAACATTTCCGGGCACCGGGTGCCTGAGCAAGAGCCGTGTGGCGCCAGGACCTTGCTTTGCACCCAGCCCCGGCAGTGTACAGGCGCCTACACCTTAAACCCTTAACCCTAAACTCTAAACCCTAGGCCCTAAACCCTAAACCCTTAACCTTTAGGCTTCAGAAGGGCTATATAAGGCTTGCGGGTTCAGGGATGTACGGAGGGTCCCTAAACCCTAAACCCCTGAACCCTATAACTTTGAGCCTAGCTCTGAGAATCAAGAAGCATTTTAAGCTGGCATCCTCGGTCGCTGACTCCCGAATCCCTGAGAAGCAAGGATACCTTTAAGCGCTCTCATACGGGTTCGATAATGATGCCCATTATAAGGGGTTCCTATAAGGCTTCCTATCGCGTAAGAAGAAAATCGTAAACATGCGGCGTAGGCGGCTGATCATTCATGATGGAAGGCTTGGCTGCAGAGTTTCGGGTTCACGTCGCCATGCAGGGGAGCTGCGGACAACAATGGACCTGAGCTTCATCCGCGAGTCCTCGCAGAAAATGTCCTTTTTGAAAACATGATACTGGTATCGGTGAAGGGTTTGGGCTCGGGGAAACAAACCTTAAACCCTGAATCCGAAAGCCCAAGGCCCTATGTATATATATATATATATATATATATAGATATATAGATATATAGATATATATATATATAGATATATATATATATGGAGATATATAGATATATATATATATATATAGATATATATATATATATATATATATATATCCCTGGCCTGTGAAGCTTTCGCACTCCCGAGCCCCAGGCCGAAAACAAGACTCGACGAGAAGTGCCGAGTGGTGTCTCTCCGCCACCTGATGGTGTTAGCAATAATTTGTTTTGGACATTCCTTTTAAAACCGCATTGGAAAATTGATCGGAATGTCTTAAAGGCGGAGGTAAGATGAGGGACCATCTCAAATGGGGATTCACCACCTAACCCACCCAGAATAAACCCCTCACTAGCGTTAAGTTTTAGGTTTAGGGCTTAATTTAGGGGCCTTAATGGATGGAATAGGGTTTTGGGGCCCATTAAATTATACTATAGTTACAATAAGGAGCCCCGAAAATAGTAGAGGTAACTATTGAGGCCCTGTAGTAAAGGCCGAATGGGGCTTCTTGAGGCCAAGGCAGCAGCTGCGGCGGCCTGCAGCGCAAAGTCGTGGAGGGCCGGGAAAGCCGTTTCGGGGTCTGGGGCTCCAGGTGTAGGGTTGATGCTTAAAGTAGGGGCCTTAAATAATTACAAATACTATATTTCTTGGGGGTTTTGGGGGTTCCTTTAACGGGTTCCTGAAAGGGTTCTATAAGGTCGACTACAAGGGTTTAGGGTTTTAGGGAGCTTAACAATTCGAATAGGATTCTGGGGTTTACTATCCTATACTTCTACTGAGGAACCCCCAAAACAGTATAGGTAACTATGGAGGCCCCTA